GTATACTATGCCAAAGATTACTATGCTATTTGTGATTATGGGGGGAAAATTATTCCGCAATATAAAAAGTTATTTTCTTAAAATGAATATTGAAGAAATAAAATTCTACACGCATAAAGACAACAATTTTTAACTCTTGAAGACAACGTTATATTGATTTTCGTGATGTTAGTACCGTATGATCGAAAAAAAAACGGCGTCAAAGATGGCTGGGGAATAGTAATCGATGATAATTTTGTCGAGGTCGATCTCTAGACGTCATTCGCTAAATATTGACATAAAACTTTTTTTTTGTTTTAAAAAATATTCAGAAATTATTATTTCAAGAAATTTGTTACGAATAGAAAAAATATTGTGCTGGTTGGCGTTGGTTTCTATGTAATTTGACAAATAAATAAAGCTGTCTCTTTAGTTGTCAGTTTTGAGTCATGGTCAATATTTTTTAATTCTCTTTCGTGTCGACTGCTGATTGCATTGGAGCCAGAAATGGCTCAAAACGAAATAAGTAAATTACCAACAGATATTCAGGCTTAGGCGACAAACGCCATATCCAAACTACTTTCATTTAAATCCCGAATAACTTGTGAAAAGGAATACAAAATTTTTCAAAAATGGAAACAATTAAAAAACGTGCGAGAAGAAATAAAGTTTTTAACCTATCCTCGCTGTTAAAGTATCATTTAATCTACCCTTGCAGTTAAAGTACTATTTTATCTACTATTTTTGATAGATATAAGGCAATTTTAACAGTTGCTATGGAAAAAATATTTAAACGTTACAACAGCAAGTGTAATTTTTTTATTTGGTGAATTGGGGTATATTTGTTATCAGAATAGTTTTTTATAGCTTTATAGAAAAACTTTTTATAACTTTTTCAGTTATTTTTCGATTTATTATATAAGATTTTAAACAAGTTGATTTTTTTAATTTAAAACCCTGATTAAAATTAAAAAAAATCATTTTATGTTGATGAAATGAAGTTGATTTAAATCTTTACACCCCGGTATTGTAACTTATAGTCTAAGAGCTAGCAACGTTTTCGAGAAAGTATTTTAAGACGTCTGGCTCTTTGATATATCTTTTACTATGCTCTCTGGAACAACATGCGGCCCGTCTGGCTGCCGATACCCATTGCGTTCACTACTGCGCATCGGAAGAAGATCCTTTATTTTTTATTAATTTAGTCCTATAAATTCTAGTATTGAATATAAATCGAACAATGAAATGAATATATTTTCTCCATACCGCAGTGCGTAGAGTTTCCGACCACGAACCGATGATTCAGAGTTTGAATCCGGGTCAGGTCAAAGACTTTTTTATTTTATTTTCGTTTATATTCTGATAGTAAAGTATTAAATAATTCTGGTAATTTAAAAAAACAAATATTTAATACTTTACTATCAGAATATAAACGAAAAAAAAAAGTTTTTGACCTGACCCGGATTCGAACTCTGAATCATCGGTTCGTGGTCGGAAACTCTACGCACTGCGCTATGGAGACATGTTCGATTTATATTCAATACTAGGATCTTCTTTCAATGCGCAGTAGGGAACGCAACGTTTACCGGCAGCCAGACGGGCCGCATGCTGGTCTAGAGAGCATAGTAAAAGATATATCAAAGAGCCAGACGTCTTAAAATACTTGTTTTTCCGACGTTGCTAGCTGACTAAAAAAATGTACAAAAACAATGAATAAATCTTCTTGTTCTAAATATATTCTAAAAAACTTTGTTAAAAATATATTCTAAAAAACATTGTAAATACAAATCTTACCTATACATTAAAAAATTCTTATTCAAAATGAGTAAGCCAAAACTATTCAGCAATTCATAATAGAAAGGTACTTATTCTTTTGATACCATTATGTCTGTAAAATGGTAGATACTGAAAAAAATATAAATGTAAATAAATACAGTCATATTAAAAATATAGAAAATAGATAGTTAACAAAATTAAATGGCGTAGCGGTATCTAACTATAGTATATAATCATGGGAATTGAATTGTTTATTGTTAACATTTATAACACTTATTTATTTCAGCCTTTGGACTAGCAACCTTAACGAATATATATTAATTCACAGGAATCACACCAACTGATCACAGCCATTGTATAACACTGAAAAAGCTGTTCTATTTTTATTCCAACTTTCATAATTCACAAATCCCTCTTTATTTTGATTTAATTTTTATTGATGTAATAAAATATAGTCAATATTTAAGTTAAATTTGATAATTAAAAGGAATTTTTAAAGGATGTGTTAAAAATGTAGACCTAAATCCGGATTTCATTTAGACTTCTCAGAAGCAATTTGTCAAGGATAACTAATTTCCTCATATAAAAATTTGAAACTGGTTGTAAAATAAGATAAACAACATGAAGTATAATTATTGCATATTATTGGGATAAAACAAAACCAAAGAACATTGTAGTTTTAACATTTTTAAAAAGATAGTTTATTTTCTATCTTCATAATGACACCATGTAGGTTTAATCAATTTTTTTTCGCAGAATTATTACGCCCCTCATATTGTAATCAAAACCTAATTTTGAATTATCATAAATCATGTTTTTCAAATGGAAACCCACTTTTTTATTTCACTAATAAAAAGGTTTTTCAATTTGTTGCATTTTACACAAGTAGCCTATGACTTTAAACGTCAAGTTATGTAAAACAATAGATATGGCCATGTCATATTGTGACGCTTTGTTCATAAACCAGCATCATTTCCGAGCCAACTTTGCGCTGTTTTTTTTTCGATCATACGGAATATTATTAGTATCAACTTTAGCCTATTACTAAAGAGCGGAAATACGAGATATCTATACTAATATTTATAAAACCCTTAAGTGACTGACATACTGATTAATCACGATCCTGCTCAAACCACTCAACGTAACGTAAGAACAGTAGTTATCTCTGGTAAGAAGCTCAATTTTGGCATACAGGCTGATTCTAGGGTGTAGAGGTTCGATAAGAAGGGATTTTTCGAAATTCCAGTTCCAAGAGGGTGAAACCACCCCTCAAATATTACAATATTTTTTATTTAAAAAACGGTCAAGTTTCCGAAAAAACGCTTAAACACGTATATTTTATTTTGTTTTTTACATATTTTAAGACTTTTTAAAAATGTATACAGGGTGTTTGGAAAAATCTGGTCATTGATTAATCACGATCCTGCTTAAAGCGCTTGACGTAAAAAGCTGATTTTTGGAAAACAGATTGACTTTAGGGTGTAGAGGTTCGATAAGAAGGGATTTTTGGAAACTCGAATTCTAAGGGTGTGAAACTATCCCTTAAATATTAAAATATTTTTTATTTAAAAACCGGTGAGTTTTTCGGAAAAACTCATAAACACGTATATTTTATTTTGTTGTTTTACATATTTTAAGATTTTTTATAAATTTATACAGGGTGTTTCATAAAATATGACCATTGAGTAATCACGATTCTGCTTAAACTGCTTGACGTTTAAAGCTGATTTTTGGCAAACGGATTGACTATAGGGTGTAGGGGTTCGATAAGGAGGGGTTTCTCGAATCTCAAATTCCAAGAGGGTGAAAACGCCCCTCAAATATTACAATATTTGTTATTTAAAAAACGGTTAATTTTTCGGGAAAACGCTTGGACAAGCATAATTTATTTGGTTTTTTTACACATTTTGAAATTTTTAAAAAAAATCATACAGGGTATTCCAAAAAGTTGAGTAATTTCTTAACCAGGATTCTGCTTAAACTGCTTGACGTAAAAAGTTTATTTTTGGCAAACGGATTTTTCGAAAGTCAAATTCCAACGAGACGAAGACAAGTTATAGAATAATATCCCTATATTGTTTTTTCTCATGCTGACATAAATGTGAGAAAATTTTATCCAGTTTGTATGTTAATGGAAATTCTTGCTTTACTTTATCATCGCCATTACAAATGATTAATTCGACGCGAACGAAGTCGCTGGTACACGCTAGTATTTTTATAAATACACTTTTAAAACTCTTAAGGGGGCAGGCAGAATTTATAATATAGGAAATTCAAATAATTCGTTTTCTTACAGATGGAAATAAGTTGTCTGACCGTTTGACGCTTAATGTCAAAGGAAGCTAGATAAAATCAAGGAAAATATACGTTTTCAAATTAAATCTTAAATAACTTAAAAATGATTTATTTTAGGTATAGGAACATGTATAGTTAAAAAGTAACGAACTAAAAAACCTTTTCATTAGTAAAATTAAAAAAATGGGTCTCCATTTGAAAAAAAAATATTTATGATAATTTTTAATCGCTCTATTCCATGACACCTACCGCCATTATTATATGACATTTGAACATTTAATTTTTGAAATAGATAGCCACATGTCTTCTCTTTATGTCACAGTGGCTGTGGTAATCACTAAATTTGATTTTTAGGCTATACAATTTTTTTTGATAGGCAGTTTTTTTCGTCCAAAAATTTTAAATATTTTTTTTCTTAAAAACGGTGAATTTTAGGTATAGAGTGTTTAACATCAATATTCATAGAATTTTATAGATAATTTAAGTATGAAGAAAGTTGCTGTCAACTTCCGGTATTTCCGAAAATGTCGCCGTATTGAAAATATTTTTAATCGATAGATCTCGTTGTAAAACAATGATGTGCAAAAAATCTCCGATTTTGTGGTTTTCTAGAAACTTGTAATGCACGCTCAGCCTGGGACACTCTGTATATCGGGTTGAAATAGCCATAAAATGGAAAAAAAACGTGAATATTTGCGAAACTGTTAAAAAAATTTAAATAGTTCAAAAAATATTAATTTTTGAATACTTCATTTAACAGAGGAATAATATAAGGGTGTTTTCTGTTTAAAAAAAACCTAACTAATCCAGTAAAAAAACTAAACTAATCCTGCAGCCGGATCCTGTACTAAACAGGGTTAATAAAGGAATTAAGGCTGTATTCAACAATAACCACAGATTTTAACATTATCAGTTGCATTTAATATTTTAATATATTTATGTTGTTACAGTGTGACAGAAATCAAGATGGGTTCGTCAGCTTGGAGGAACTTACAGCGTTTATCAAGAGCAACGAGCAAACGCCGACCTCCGGACCCTTGACACCTATCATCCTCAACAACTATCAAAGATTCGACCAAAATCACGACAACAAACTCGATTTCGAAGAGTTCGTCGAAATGATTACGAACGACAGTTTTCTAAAAGACTTTGCCAATCTAGGAAACCGGTAAGCAAATATTTGTTTAAATATGTTCTCTTCATTCGACGACAGATATAATAGTCATTATGTTAGGATGAATCAGCTATTTATTTTATACATTTAGATGCAAAAAAGCGCAACGGAAAAAAAATCGTCAAATTTAAAGTGTTATACAGGGTGTCCCAGAAATGAGTGCAAGTATTTTAAGGGGTAGTAGATTTCGATAAAAGAAACATATTTTCTCTTTATCGTTTTTCAAATAAGTCCAAAATAACGGAGTTATTTTACTTTGAAAATTTCCAAAAAAAGTATTTTTTGCTAAAATTTTGAGAACCGCTGGATCTTTTCTGGATTTTCTCTCTTGTATATTTAATCTACTACATAATATGTTGCCATTTTATCAAGAAATTATGTTTATTAACTCAAAACTAAAAAAAATTCAAAAAATAACGAAATTTCATTTTTTTTTTGTGAAAAAAACCTCAGGAGTGTTTCTGGGGTTGAACTATACTACCAGTTAAAATACTTGCATTTATTTCTGGGACACCCTGTATTTTTTTATTTTTAGCCCTATTTCCTTAATTTTTTAGCAAACTGTATATAAATACTGTATGATCGAAAAAAAAACGGCATCCAGTAGGCTGGGAAATGATGGCACGATCCATGACATTTTCCATATAAATTTACATATGAAATGACAACGATCTTCATTTCATAGCCATCGCTGACGCGTTTTTTTTCGATCTTACGGTATATCAACTTTAATTCGTAAGCTCATTTTATTATAAACTTTAGTATTTGACTTATTATACAGGGTTAATCGAAGAGTTGTTTTTTACCCTATCTTTAAAAAGCCCTATGCAATAATTCGTGAGCAAATTTTCCTAAAACATTATTTTTCGGTCAGAACCACGTCTCTTGAATATTTTGTTTTTTGACTCATGGCAACACATGCCTTGGTTAATATTTAAAAATAAAAGCAAAATAAACTTGCCACAAACATTTTGCAGTTTTTTCAATTTTTATCGTTACATTTTAATGTTATTCTTCATAATGACGAGGTGGCTTCGCTGACTATTGTGTGCGATTGAATATGGTTCTTAGGGGCGCAGATTGTACAAAAGTCATTGATCTTGTTGAAGAAGACCGAAATGATGAATATTGTGAATACTCTTTGCACTCTTGCTGCAATATATTTGCAGACTTTTTTGCAAGTTTTTTGTTTGTTTGTACACTTAGTTATTACAGTTATGTTTTCTTAATATCCTTTGTTTTGTTAGTGTTACTAATATTTATTGAAGCCAAGCCTGTATCATTACTTTTTAACGTTTCTTAGATTTAATATACAGTTGTAATGCAGTGACGATATGGTATTATGATTATGACAATAATAGTCATCAAAGCCACCTCGTGATATTAAAAAATAACATCATAAAGTAATGATAGTTGAAAAAATTACAAATTGTTGGTGGTAAGTTTATTTCACTCTTAAAAATTAACCAAGGCATGTATTGGCATGAGTCAAAAAACAAAATGCTCAAGAGGAATGATTCTCATCGAAAAATAATGTTTCAGGAAAAGTTACCTGCTCACGTAATTATTGCACAAGGTGTTTTATAGTTAGGGTAAAAACAACCCTTCAAAAAAAATCATGAAAATAGGGCTAAAAATAAAAAACAAATATAACACTTTAAACCTGACGAAAAAAAAAATTCCGTTGCATTTTTTTTGCATTTGAGTAGTACATATCGGCTTTATGACGAAAAGGCGTATCTCGATTTTTGGCGATTTTGAGATATCAACGTCATGACATGCCCAATGGGTCATATTTTAACATAGCGAATTTGCGTATCTTAATATTGTACCTTTCTCATTTTATATTCGTTTAAAAATTTGCCCCATCTCAAATAGTACAATTCTTCGTTATGACGAAGAGACGTATGTTGAGATAGGGCTCTTTGTTATATCAATTATTATACTATAAGAAAGATGGAATTTGAGATAGGTCCTTTTGTTTTAAGTTATGAAAATGCATGCGAGAGAAAATCACACCATTCTACCTAATTATTTTCTGACGGTTGGTTGGGAGAAAATAAAACTTCTATCATGGCGGCAGCTCTCTTTTACAGTGTGATTTTAGAGTCTGTTTTTTGCCAAAAACCATTGTTAGAATGAGCGAACCATGAATGAACCATTGTTACACTCTGCACATAGCTGTATCGGGTATGCAAATGCAAAAGATTGTCCGAGAATAAATGGCCAATTAAAAGGAAAATGTTGATCGCAAATGATAGCAAAACAACGAAACGAAAATTGCCCTAATGGAAAATTTTCCGAAATCATAATTTCTCTAAGAACATTTTAGCGAACCAAAAATTTGCCCGAAAAATACAATAATTTTCATCTCATTATCATTGTCAGGCCATTGGCATTGTCATCCCTGCCAATTTTTGGAAAATTTTATTTATTGTGCCTATCATCATCCAGCATAAATACGTAGAATGGAAGTCGAATTTGTTATCATTGAAGAGGGAGAACAGAAACTGTTAGGTACTCCACAGTTATTTGTATAAAAAAAACGAAGGAAGAAAAATGTTTTGTTTTTGTGTAGTTTGGTTTTTATTAAATGGACCATGAGTTGAAATGCCCTGTATTAATGTCCTCGATTAACTAAATAATTACTAAAAATATATTACTTAAAAAAATGCATTTTTGTATAAAAAAACAATATTATTAAAATAAGCTAGATAAGAGTATTTCAAATGATTATTGTCTTTGCTTCTGGAATGAAAATTGTCTTTGTTTTCAGTTGATCTAATCTAAAAGTATTTAAAAATATTTGTTTCCGATTTTTTGGCGATTTTCAGATTTTTTCTTGTATGTATGTATTGTATTTTCTTGTAAGTATTCCATAATGTGAATATTGTATAATTTTTTTTTCTTATTAAGAACACTTTAATGTCATTTTTAAATTTATTTTACATGGGCGTATGTATACTATTCGTTCGGAAATAAATTTATTATTATTATAACAAAACGGCCTATCTCTATTAAACAACTAAAAATAAATTATTTATTAGAATTTACGCTCAATTTATCTTCAGAGCGTTTCCTCAATGTCTCCGTTTAAGTGTTAATACAAAAACACTATTAAAAAATTACAGACTTTACATTTATTGGCCAAATAAAGTAAGTGATTTTCTTTAAATTGCTCTCCTAAAAATAGCAAAAATCGAGATACGCCTTTTCGTCATAAAGCCGACGATATAAGATAAAAAGTATAAAAATATTAACTATTTAATAATACTAATTTAAGTATAATAGTAATAATACTAACTTACTGAAATTATATTCTTCCTGACAACAAAATAAAAAGAAATACCTATTATATAAGTAGATTCAAGGTCTGCAATTAAAGTCGCATTTTCAAATCATATTCTAAGCCAGTAAAAAATAGGTTATTCCATTTAAAAAGAAAATTCACAAAATTTAATCAAATATCCGTTTTACAAAAGAGGCTGGATATTTCGCCACTGAAACCACCAAAAAAGTATTAGACATTACATACAATTTTGATTAGGTACTTTGGTTTCACTCTTTTTTTCTTTTTGGATACGAATTTTATTGTTTTGGTTTTATCATTTTCATTCACGATTCTCTACATTTTTATTAATATTTCTAAAAATTTTCTTTTTACTCTAAACTACAAAAAGTTGCAGCAAAAACAACTACTGCTAAAAATATTTTGGATAACATCACGAATCACGGATCCAAATGCTAAAATGGTCCGGAAAATGACCTACTGCAAAGAGTCTCCATACACCAGAAATTCTCCATACACCAGAAGATTTAGTCTGCCAATTTGGCCTGTAGACTTGCCCTGCGGATAAAAACTTTGCGTTTGTGTAAGGCTCTTTCTTTCTAAGCGGCAGTTTTTGTTCCATGCACATTTATCTACATAAAAACTACTATAAAACGTCAAAATACGAGAATTTTGGTACGTGACAACGTGACAGGCCAAGTCCGCAGGCCGGATCTTCTGGTAAATATGAAAAAATAAAAATATTTTCTTCTTTTCAGATATGTAAAATTCCTAGTACCAGTATCAAGACGAACCGTAAAGCTTCGTCGAATGCACACGATAACAGGAATGTATGAGGAAGAAGTAAAATTCAAAAAAACTGATGTAGGAATGATATTATTATCCATAATTCAAATAGCATTGTATTACATAGGCTACAATAAACCATTAATATTCGACCACTTAAGAAGATATGAAGTTTGGAGATACATGACATATATGTTTACACATAGCTCGTAAGTATTTTCGAATGTAGTAACTAAGAGCTAAGAGAATGTATGATCTGAGATTTTTGCTTAAAATTCAAGAGCAGTAGACAATCCAGTAGATAATTTTTGCGCATATTTGAAGTGAAACTTCTTCTTACTTCCGTCTGTCCGTCTGATGAATCCATTCAGGCACCTCTACCCTCTAGAGTTTGGTTTCAATCGACCTATAATTAAGAAAAAACCTGATGATTTTGTCCATTTAGAGGCATCGATCGGTACGAAACGTCGAAGGCGTCATCCTATAGCCCGTCCTCAATTATGCCGAAATCGACCCACACTTTTCTTCAATATCAAATTCCTAGTGCCACCCTGATGAAGAAGATGTAAACGAAACTATCCAACTTTGCAGTCGTTAAAAACACACTGTCGCGTCGCTCACATAGCCAACCCACCAAATTTGGTCGCGATCGGACGACACCAACTTTTGACGTTTCTTACGTCAAAACTAACTGTCACAGTGACACGTGTCGTACACGGTCAAGTTGGCCTTGGTCCACTCTATCGACATACCAAATTTCATTTAAATCGGACGATTTTTTCGCCGTTGATGATAGGGTTTCATAGTGCACGAAATGTCAAAATACCATAAAAAGTTTCAGCCCCCTAGCTCACATGAGGCCCGAGTTACGACGCTCCAAATTCCCATCTCAACTTCCTCATTGACCTCATTACCACTTGTGCTCATTACTACTTTTCCTGACGGGTCGCGTGTCGTGACAGTGGCTCGTGTCTCACGGCCTCGACTTTTTACTTTTACTTACTCTTTTTTAAAAAGTTTCACTTCAATAACTCTAGCAATTTTCACTAGCCATTTAAAAATGAAGCAATCTGTTTTTTTTCAGGACACTACACCTTTTCAACAACGTAATATTTCAACTAGCAGTTGGATTACCTTTGGAAATGGTGCATGGTTGGAGAGTCATCGTTATATATTGTGCAGGAGTTTTGGGAGGATCACTATTCCAGTCTGTCATTTACCCGGATGAAAATCTAACGGGTGGTAGTGCTGGAGTACACTCCTTCTTCACAGCTCATATTGCCACAGTTATCATGGTAAGTCTCTATATTTTTTAGTTAGTATAATTGATTAATGAACTACAGCAACTCAATTTTCAATGAAAACTAGACACAGATCAAAATAAACACAGAAAATACTAAGAAAGATAAAATTCTGACAAAAGAATGTGTTAATATCTAATATTGTATTTACTAAGAGTGGGTCCCAAGTGGGACACACTCCTGCGACCGTGAGGGCCTAACAATTATTATAATATCTAATAAGTCTTTAATGTTTAATTGTAGATTTTATGGGAAGGGGGACGGTAATTACCGCTACCCTATAGATCTCGTGTCACCCTTTCTTGAGTTATAACTCATCACTCATCATACCAGTCTCAGAGTTTTGACAAAACACAGTATCTGATCAGTCGTATCAAAATTTATGGCACTGATGGCACATGTATTTTCCCCATAGAATCTGCATTCGCCGTTGATTCTTATAGCTTCAATGTACTGAGATGTTCACTGAGCAGGCAGTGTCCTGTTAAAAAAACCCTGTGACAAGCCGAAAAATGTTCTTACTTAAAACAAGGAAAATGTTTGATTTTTCTCGGTCGTAAGTCCTGAGAAATTTCTTGCAGTGTCTTAGACCGTTGGAGGACACCCATTCCAAGTTACGGATGGAGTCTTCCAGATTCTTCAGTTCCGCTTTCAGTTGTTTCCGTTGTTTTTTTTTTATTTTTCATTACCTTCTATCTTTTGGTGGGCTGGTATCCAGAGCAGGTGGACTTTATGTTCTTTCCCTAATTTGTTCAGTTGCTCTAGACATTCTTCGACTAACTCTGAATTGTTCGTTACTGAGTTACTATCGCTCTTAAGGCTGCTTGACTATAGTCTGTCCAACGAGAGGATCTCTGACAGTGACAATTGCGTCTGTCATTTTAATTCACAGTCAAATTATATTTTCCGTCATTTTTTGTCATGTCGTCTGTTGAAACGTGTTCCCAATTATTTTGGATAATATGGATATTTATTGTCTCCGATTTAATGTATGAATGTTGACTCCTTTGACCCTCGTTTAACCATAAATAAAGAATAGTATTTAACTCCTTTTTTTCTCTTTTATTAAATTGATTAATTAAGTCAACAAGTTTTTGACCCTTCATGTTGCAAAATATTTTGTTAGACCAATGTTTTGTTGCAATTGCTGGTTTAGAAAAGTATTTTAACAGTTTTATACAAGAAACACAATTTTAACACATTGTATTGTATTTGCGTAGTGGTTCCTGAATTGCCTTGATTTAATTATATCAACATCATCATCATTTTCAGATTATTCAACCATTTCCAATAATGGTGTAGCCTCCCTCACATATTTAGATACTCTCTGTAGTTGGGCCCATTGTTCTCTATTGATGGCTATGCGGGCCCAAGTTATCCCTGCTAATTTCCTAATGTCATGGCCCCATCTCAGGTTCGGTCTTCTTCTAGGTCTCCTAATTTCGCGTGGGTACCATGCTGTAATTTTTGTGGTCCATCTGTTGTCCGTTCTTCTTGCAAGGTGTCCTGCCGATTGCCATTTGAGGGATTTCACTCTGTGGATAACATCTATTACCTGGGTCTTTAGTCGTATGCAGTCCATTCTTTTACAGTCTCTCTTGGTTATTCCCAGCATATTTCGTTCCATTGAGCGTTGTGCGGCCTACAGTTTCCTTATGATATCCGTTTTATGTGTCCAAGTTTCGCATGCATTGGTGATGACTGGTAGTACACAATGGTCGAATGTTTCCTTCTTTAGATAAAGTGGCATTCTAGATTTAAATATGATTGACTTTGTTCCATAAATACTCCATGCTAACTTAATTCTTTTGTTGATTTCTGGTAGTAGAGATCCCGAGATGTGTATATTAGTTCTCTCAAATATATATATATATATATATATATATATATATTGTTCTACTATTTCCAGTGGTGAGTTATTTATTAGAATGTCTTTTCTTTCTGTGGCTGTATTTAGTTCATTAATTTGTGCTTGTAGTTCTTCAGGACTATTGGCAATTAGGACTATGTCGTCAGCGAATCTTATAGATATTAAGATTAAGATATTCTCCATCTATTCTTAATCCTTTGTTGGTCCAGTCCAGTTAACGGAAGATTTCTTTTAGTGTTGCTGTAAAGAGCTTTAGGGATATCGCGTTTCCCTGTCGTACCCCTTTCCCGGTGGGGAAGTCTAGGATTTTATATATAATTATTCTAGCTTTGTCTTCTTTGTATATATTGGCGAGAGTTTCCATATAAGGCCTGTCAATACCTCGTTTCTCTAGGGCTTCTATGATTGCTTTAGGATATATCGAGTCGAAAGCCTTCTTAAAGTCTATAAAGCCTATGACTAGTGGAAGTTCGTATTCTTTTTAAAAGCATTATATATCCAAACATATACCTACACCATTTTAGAAGATTACTTGCAAAATACCAATGCACAAATGAAAATGCATATTCACACGAGTATTCTTAACAGACTTTATATTTCTTATGGAGATTTAAAAGAACTACAATAACTTATTTACTAATTTGTTTCAGAATTGGAGGGAAATAAGTCAGCCTATTGCCCAGTTGATATTCTTCGGTTTCTTCACAGTGTGCGACACCGTCTACAAATACATTACCTATGGAAATCAAAACAGTACGAGCTACATAGCCCATCTAGGTGGGGCCATATGTGGACTTCTCGTAGGCGTAAACATTCTCCGAAATTTGAGAGAAACCAGAGTGGAAAGGATTATCTGGTGGATATCCTTTGTCATTTACACGATATTAATGATAACGCTAATTTCATTAGAAATAGCCTTAAATGTGTTTCATTTAAGGCCAACAAGCTAATACAAAGCTAAAACTGAAAATCAATATAACGACTGAATAGTTAATTTGACTTTATCATTAGTTCATCTAGTATTATTTATAAATAATAATATTTCAACTTTAGTGAAATCATGACAATACATGTCTATAGTAAAATATAATTTATAACAGACTGCCAGTAGTGAAACCTCATGTTTAAGCCAGTTACAATCATATTTCGTAGATTCATACTAGTCTTACGTACTATATCATTTATCACTATTTATTTCCTTTTTTATGATGAATATATCATTTGCATTTCCATACAACTTATTCATATTTTTTAATTTATGTATTCAGGTATTCATCACTTTGTGATATTTTGTACTTAATTTAGGAAAATATTAGTGTTATTTATTTATGTTTTGTACTACGTAAGTTCAAATAAAGATTTAAATAAAACATTATGATATTTTATTATCCTTTTCCGCGCATATTTTTATTTGATTACAATAATTATTATTAGCGTATTTACTATTACAGTTACGCTGATATCTGGAATTATAACTAAGATAGTAATTGAATCGGTAAACCTGCAGACATAACATTTTCTGAAAGAACTTCCCTGCCTCTTAGAGAAGTGATGGAACTTTTGAGGTGTTGTCTGCACAATTCTTACTTTCGAGTTAAAGATAATTTTTATGCTCAAAATGATGGTTCCTCGCTCTCTCCAGTGATAGTTAATATTATAAGCGCTCTAGTTGCTAAATCATTACAGCAATTACAGGAAATGCTGAACACATATACCTGTACATACGAGATTTTGGGCCTTAAGCTGAACATCGATAAAACTAAAATCATGTGCACTCCCCCGGAAAATCATAACAGTGCTATAAAAATCGGAGAAGAACTATTGGAATATGTAGCGGAATTCAATTACCTCGGCAGTTTGATTTCGGAAAAGGCCAATATCTGAAATTCAGAACAGAATTTAGCAACGCCTCAAGAGCATTCTGGAAATTAAAAGACAGGATTTTCTACAATCATGACTTGAGCACAAAAACAAAACTTGTGTGTGTGTACAAAGTGAATTGGTAAACATTTTAAATTCAAAGTGAACAGAACACAACCTGTACTTGTGGGCCTTATTTATATCTTCAATCAAGTCTTCTCCGTTAGCTGCAATTGTCCATGTTCTTGCCCTAAAAATGTATTGTTAACTTATTTTCGATATACTCATTTTATTTATTTTTATAATTTTATTTAAATTAATAATATAATCATTTTTAAATTTAATTTTTAATGTCTAGATTCTAGATACAACATTAAATTTTATTTTACTAAATATTTAACATTAAATCTTACTAATATTAAAGTTTGTTAAGATTTTTAATTAGATCTTCCTATTTAGCTGAATGTCCTAATATGTATACTACTGTTTTTTAACTAAAATATGTTAAAATAATTAATCACATATGTATATACATACCTAATCGGATCTCTAGGAAACAGAAAGAAACTTTTATTGCAGTTTAGTCCTCTACTCGGGCAGTTTTTTGCTGCACAACTTCGCCCAGGCATTTTAAAAACACGTTGCATGTTTTTAATTTTAATTGTCTATTCTCTACAGTGAAATATTTAATTGATTTTTTTCATTTTACTTTTCGAGAAGTATGCGCGGTTAACGATTCATTTGTTTAGACAAAAGTATTGTAAATAAAATTCAGTTTCAGTCAATTACAGTATTTTTTTAATACGACCCTGTCGTATTTTCTGAGAAATTTTTTAATACGTTTTAATCCGGCCCTGACTAGGAAACCATAATGGCGCCGACAAGGTCAAATTTTATAGAAATTTTAAACAATGGAATCTGAGTAGAGTTGGCGTGCCGATTGTTTTATGTGCCGTGGTAGAGGTATAGTTTTTCTGAAGTCGGTTGGAATAGATTGGGACGGAATAGATTTGGGCACTGTCTGTGTCGGTGGTGTCAGCTGGACAAGGCACTTAAGAGTCTAAGTACTTTCCAATTGACTTCGGAAATATTATACCTCTACCATCCATAACTAAGGTGTAACCCATTGCATCATCACGAACACGTCAGTTAAATACTTTTTTTTTAATATTGGGGCTTGGAGCTCTATTTGGCATAGTAAAACATTTTAAAAAAGAATAAATAAAAATTCAATGATCCAATATAAAAATATACTTATCATACATATTACATTGATAAATAGTTACAAAATATACAATACTATAGAAACAATATAGGAATTACAAATGTGGTCGCAGAATAATTCAGATAATAGATAAATATGAAATGCAAATGTTCACTTTTGTCTCATTCTTGCGATATCCCTTTAAAATATTCTGGGATGATTTAATTCATTTCAAATTTATTCGGGAGTTAACTACTTATTCTTAAGACCACAGATGTTAGAACACAACCAACTGATCAATTATCCATAATTCGATGTTTACATCAGGTTTATTATTCGTTTCAAAACCATCTACACTAATGTTTTCTTTTTGCATCCGAATATTCTTCGTTGCTATTTAACGTAACCAAAGGCATTGCCCTATAATAACTATATTATATTTTGCTGCCTTGTGATAAAAAACAAGTTTAGGTTCCAAGATATCACAATAAACAACATTTGGATGCAAAAAATGTAGTACACTATTGCAGAAAGTTCTTTTAAAAAATAATAAGTTTGTCAAATTATGAAAATTGATATATATAATGTGATCAAAAAGGTTTATAATCCAGCATTCTCTGTGTGATAACAATTCTTATGTAAATTACACAAGATTGTTTACTGTCAAAGTCCGCTTGATACTCTTTGATCATACGATATTAATAATAAATATTTAGAAAATATTAACAAAAAAAAACATGCCAAACCAAATCAAAAATAGAAGTATAGTTTTAAAATTGTAAATCAATGGTTTCGGAAATATGAAGGAAGTTTCTATGGTAAGTCCCAGTTGATATCATGAGTGTAAAAAATAATTTTCAATATGAACAATTTCTAAAAGCTTCATCATACTTTTTTTATACATAGATCATATACTTTTTGAATACAACAGCGATAAAACGATTAAAGCTTGATTTTCATGCATCCGTTGTCCGACGATACGTTGATACGATATTAATTTCATTGGTTGGGTTAGGTTATTGGTTGAATTTAAAGACTTCGGTTGGTTAGAAACGGTTAACCAATCGAAGCCTTTAAATACAACCAATGAAATTAATATCGTATCAACGTATCGTCGGACAACGGATGCATGAAAATCAAGCTTAAACCATAATACCAGCCTGAATTCTCAATCATTTAAAAAATAATATCTTATCGTGATGATTACCTTTTAGTTTAAATCAAATGAAAGCTTTGTTTGTTCTTTAGAAGAACAAACTAATAAATATACCTTAAGATCAAAAAAGCTATCAGAGTTGACTTGGAAATGACGATCGATGACGTTTTATAAGTAAGATTACGTCACAGAGTGCAGGTACTCTTACATAGTGAGAGTAATTGATGTAATTTTCAAGCCAACTCTGTTCTACTGCGATAAAAACAAAGCTGACGCTGTTGTTTTTATTGATCACACAGTATTTCCTAAAACTACAAATATAGCAACTAGAACTATTATCTTATATAAAAATAAATTCAGTCAATATTTAAATCGTGTGCGTATTATTTTAATATGCGCAAATTAGAACTAATTTTCAGGTACCGCCATGGTAGAAACTAAAATATTATATACTTTAGTATTTAATACTTGTGCTATCAATTTTTAATTTACTTTAAATATATAAATATAATATTCACTCCATTAATATTATATTATTTATTAAAATAAAATGTAGTTTTATAGATAAATAAAAAATAATACTCATTATTAAATTATTATCAAATATGGCGTACAGCACACTTTCTAATATAATATATCCCTTCTACTACGTTCCTAAGAAACAAATATACCACAGATATGGGTTTCAATACTTTGAATACATACTTAATGTAACTAGTCAAAGATAGTTTAGATGCACTCTCTAAAGAATGATTGGAAAAAACTTAATTATAAAATTTTTTATAATTAAGTGAGTTTTGCATTATGAGAGAAAAACAATTCTTCTAGGAAATTCAGTTAGAATTTTTTTAACTGTCAAAGTCAAGACTTACTTGATTATAAAACGTTTTAATTATAGGGTATTTGTATAGTAGATAACATAAAATACTTTTAACAATTTTTATTGATATTCAGACATAAAAATTGTCTTAACACATTTAATCAGATCAATGTAACGTGAGATTCTTCGCTTGTAAAAATAGACATTTCTAAAACGTCAAACTGTCAAAAAATATATTTCATAACTCATAATTAAGTACTTACATTTTTCATAGTAATTTTAATACTTTTCGAGAGATTCTTCTGATATTCACAATTAACTTGCATGTTTTTTGCATATGTTAAACAAATAAATTAAACAATTTAACTAAATAGTAGAGAGAATATTTTTTTGATATATCATAATTGGTTGAAATGTTCCCTTTTAAAGATAACAATACTTTTAAAATTTTCGAAATATTTGCAAAATTGTCATAAAAATCAAATCACACAATTTAAGTAGTCAGTAGATAGGATCCTTTTTTTAAGCAATTAGTTAAAATTTTTCCTTGTAAAATTAAAATTTTGATAATTCCTATAAACTTGCCCTTCGTAAGGATCTTTTGGAAAATAACTTGTCCAGGCAACATTCCATATAATGCATAGTCCCATTAAAGTAATATATGCGATTATAGAAACCCACCAAATGATTTTTTCATGTTTGGTCACGGTCAGATTTCGGAGAATATTAATTCCAACCAACAATCCTGCTACAGCCCCTAAAATGATAAATCAGTTAAATTTTTATTGATTATAACTAAAGATGATTTGTAAACCTGCAAAGTGTGCAACATAGCCAATATGTTGATTAATATCCAAAACATATCTGTTATAAATAGCAGTGCCAATATCTGTTGCTGCAACTATGAAAAAAACTAGTAATTGTACATATGGATAAGCCATTTCCTTCCAGTTCTAAAATAATTAATACTGTTAGGAAAATCGTAGTGAAATGACTAGCGACATCTATTGATAATCTAAAAAACGACCATTTTCTATAAGAAAATCACAAATGATGAAGAGGATCAAGAGTACATTCTCATACTGAAAGCCAACTTATAAAAGGAAATGTAACTTCCAGAACAAACCAGAAGAGACATCCCTGGGTATATCGTCAGTGAAACGTGATAACCTGCTAACTCCATTTTATTTTTTACGTTAATAAGTTTTTTTATACCATTAGAAAGAGAAAAAAATACTCTATAAGTAGGAAAACCAAATAAATTTTTTCCCATTAAAGAAAATTTGCTATTTTAACTCAATAATATCTGCTCCCAGTGATCTGAAATAGCCACCGAAATGCTGCTATCTCAATAATTTCCGTTATGATCACGCTAAAGAAAACTCACGGATTCTTACTCGTATGTTTCTTTAGTACAGTGCGTCGACCAGGGTCGCACTAGGCCAAAGGGGTACTCAGCAAATAAAATTCTTATCTCTTTATCATATTAACGCATTAAAATACCGTATGATCGAATAAAAACAGCGATTTACATGTAAAATTATATGGGAAATGTCATCGATCGTCATTTCATAGCCATCGCTGACGCCGTTTTTATTCGATCATACGGTACTTCCTGCATGTGTACATATTTTTTGTACCGTTTTTTTGCTCTCCTGTAAAATTAGGAATAATGGAGTTAGCAGTTTATCACATTTTACCGACGATATAAAAAGCGGTAAAGATGAGACAAAACTCTTTTTAAATAAATGATAAAGACACAGGAAAGAAGAAATCACTCGGGAATGGTCAGAAATTAATAGTTGGTCGTTATAAGGGTGCGTTCACACCTACGGCGCAAATAATTTTTTTTAACATATACTTTAGGGCGCGCTAAAAAAAATACACTTCAAAAGTAACATGTTAAAAAAATGTTTTGCACGGCGCGGCGCGCAGCGTCGCAGCCGGTGTGAACACACATTTATGAATTTTTAGGGTGTTATTAAGTCGCGCAGTGAATTGTGTTTTTTAGGTTTAATGAATTAGTTAAGTGTGTCTTTATGTGTTTAAATATACAGACCCACATAATTCATAATTAATGCATTAACTTAATAAAAAAATATTATTAATAATTTAATAAATAAAAAAAATTGTTTTACCATTATGATGGATGCAACATGAGCTGTAATCAAAGAATACACTCCACCACTTGCACCAGCTAGTTTTACACTGGGGTCGGCAATAGATGTACCAAGAGAGCCCGCTAAAACACCAGCAAAATAAACCACAAGAACTCTCCACCATTTATGCACCATTTCCAAAGGTATTCCTAATAGTATCTGAACCGCTAGATTGATTATCAAATGGTATACTCTGAAATAAAACTTCTGTTAATTGTAATATTACACATAAAATGCAAATTAGTACCCTATATGAACAAACATATAAGTAAAATATCTCCAGACCTCGTATCTTTTGTATGGCTCATAAATAAAAAGAGTGGCAACAGGGCCGCTAGCATATTTTGTAGAATCTCTTTCAGTCGCTTCATCTATACAAAACAAAATAATTTCTACCAGAGATATGATGATCATTCCAACAGCTGGAGGATAACATGAATATTCTTCTTCGTAAGCTCCATCGGTTGCAGTGTGAGATGGATGACTTTTTTTCGGTATAATAAAATTGATATACCTAAAATATTACAATCAAAATGCCATATATTTCTTATAATTGAGTAAGAATATTCTACCTAGTTGTATAGTGACCAAAAACATGACTCAAATCTGGATTGTTTATCATGTCTAAGAATTCTTCAAAATTGAGTCTTCTGTCCTTATTACGATCATGCATTTCGTGTATTTTTTTAACACAATGCAACGGAATATCATTTTCGTACTCGCGACTTTCAATCAGTTCTTGTAACTCATCAACAGTAATATATCCATCATGATCACGATCGCACTATAAATTTAGTATAACTTGTTTTTTATTAAAGATAAATGAAGGGTCCAGGGAAAAAACATGATAAACGCCGTTTTACTAATTTTACAGGAGAGCACTGAACGGCTTGTGGTTATCAGGTTCTTTCCGTGTATTCTAGATTTTTACTAGGCATATATCATAGGATTTAACAACTTATTGCCCTGCACAGTTTATACATTTTGTAGGGATCAGTTAGACCTACTATAATATTGTAAAACCCTAAAATAACGAAACTGGCACTTATCAAGTTTTTCCCCCGAACCCTTCAAATATGTTAACTGATAATTTACTTAATAGAAATATAAACTGAGTAATTAAATTAGCAATGTAAAAGAAAAATTCGTACCTATATGTGCATCAAAAAGTTTACACCATTTACACCTAAGTGACTCATTATCACCTATTTTAAATGTTTACTTACCCGATTAAATATTGTTTTAAAATAATCTTGAGGGCTCATCCTGGATTTTAAAGGAATGGTCGTAAAATTATCACCCATTTTTCTTTATCTTGTGCTATTATCTATCTGCAAGTTTAATCAATTAAATCAAATGGAATTAGGCATATATAAATTCAGTAAAATCCGGCTTTATACACAGTAGTTTTTGTTAAAATATTGTTCCAAGTTGACACGACAACAAAAACAAAACAACAAAACATAACCAAAAAAAATTATGAACCAAAGATTAATCACAAATTTTGTGTGAAGGCTTTGTCAACTAATATCTGGTTCACACAGAATGTTTTATTGTATGTTTAATTTCCAATTTGATAAATAAAATCAATATTAATAATATTGGCATTGTTCGACAGTGACAAATCACAGTCTAGTCGTAATAAGAATTAATAATTTCACATTTATGTTAATTTACTAACTAACTTCTATTATTATAATTGATTATTGTGAATCAGATGTTAATGTTTTGCATTTCTGTTGATATCGTATACCTGCCACCAGCAATACAAACATTGAATAAATTTGAAATAGGTATTTGAAATTAGATAAATTTAATAAAATACTGTAAATATAAGTTTCAAAATATGGAGTATGTCGACGAAAACATTCCAAAATCTTCAGGATTTTATCGATGTCCAGATGACATTAAATATTTTAAAGTAAAGTAAGTAGATGTTTTCTGTAAAATTTAATTTGTAGTATAGTGTCCGTGTTAAATTTTGCCAATAAAAATAGTACCACAAAATTCTCAAACAAAAAATAAGTTTTACTAAAATAGTTATTAAAATCCAAATATATTTAAAGAAAATAATTTTAAATTAACAAAAATGTCCTCATTAAATTTAAGAATTTGGTGAATGCGCCAGAATAAGCAGGCAATTTTATTTAATTTGTTTCAGGATAAAAATAATACAACTAACAGAAGATAAAACAAATAACGAAAGAATGATTGAAAAGGAGTTTTCGTGGCAAGAAAAGCAGTTTAGTGAAGCACAAAAGCACTTTTATGGAGATGAAAAGAATTGTTTAACTGAAACTGAAAAAGAATTTCACAAATTAGTTAATGAATTAGATGAATCCAAAGAAAACGATATTTTGTTTTCTTATATAAATTTGGAAGAAGAGATTTATCAGAAATTACAAGTAAATGAAAGGGATCAACTTTCGTTTAGCTGAAATCTGTTATATAAAAAATGACTTTATATATGCGTTCTAGAAGGCGTTAGGAGTACAAATATACAAAAATTTTCCTGCGGAAATGCGTCATTTTCATTTTTCGGACTTTAGTATAGCCGAAATCTGTTACATCAAAACTAGACTTCGGAGTCATAAAGACATTTTTCTAAACATAAAAACACAAAAAAGTGTCTGCGGTAATTTTTATTTTTATTAAAATTATTATTTTTACATGAGAAAATGCTTTGACTTTAGAATAGCCGAAATCAGTTACATGAAAAATGCACTTTATGTTTGTTTTATACGAGCCTTTACGAGCAAAGAAACACAAAAAAATTCCTGCGGAAATGTGTCAGTGTCATTTTGTGCACTTTGTTTTTCATACATTTTTCAGTTTAGTCGGGGTGCTGGGTGGGGTAAAACATCTTTCGGAGGAATAACAATTCTTGTAGAATAGATAATATAGGTTCTTGTAAACTATAAGTACCTCGGAATGTTGCACTTATTCTTGTTTTTTATTAAAGATTTACGTAAATAGGGTTGATTAAAAAGAAAAAATCATTCTATCGTACAGTTTTCTTTTATATTTTAATAATTAAATGTGATTTTGCAGAAATATTAGATTGGTTAGCTTTTGGGTTGCTTTGGTTAGCATTTCTTTGTGGAGGGTGTTAAACTGTGGTTTTTATATTTTAATAATTAACTGTGATTTTGCAAAAGTATTATTAGATTGGTTAGGATTTTGGGTTGCTTTGGTTAGCTTTTCTTTGTGGAGGGTGTTAAGCTGTGGTTTTTATATTTTAATAATTAACTGTGATTTTGTAAAAATATTATTAGATTTATTATTAGATTGGTTAGCATTTTAGACACTTTTAAATTATTTTTTTTTTTTGTTCAAAAGAGTTATATGTTCAGAAAAATATTAAAAATAAAACGCAAAATGTAGTTTTTTATAGCAGATTTCGGTTATTCTAAAGTGCGAAATTTGGAAATTACGCATTTTCGCAGGAAAATTTGTGTTTTACGTGGTTCACAGTAGCTTTTTAAAGGCAAATTTGTTTTTCTAATAACTGATTTCAGCTAAACGAAAGTTGACCCAATAAAAGATACATTTTTAATAAATAAAATATTGAATAAGTATAATAATAAATGTGGATAACTTTAAAATTTTGCCCCATAATGAATATAAAATTAAATCGCTTCACATCATCTGGAACTGGAATATAAATTTCCCACTGGGGATTCAAATGATAGCTCTGCTGTAAAAAATGTCACGTTACCGATATATTTATTTATTTTCTGACATTGTGATTCGTTTTGACACTTTAGTTTTGTATTACGAGATTTTGGTTTAATATGATTTGTGTTGTGAGACTTTAAGTTTAAAAATATTTACTAGCAGACCTTGTATACAAGATACAAGATAGCTTAATAGCCAATGCAAAAAAACTAATTGCAACCTTATTACAATATTTTGAAGGGGGTTGAGTTTTGTTGATGTAAATAATAACTGTACGTTAAATAATTTATTTTTGATTCCTATAAAATATTTTTATATAAAGAAAATATGTAAAAGTGAGCAACGCTGTGCCGGTCAAGCTTAATCACGTGACTAAAAGTTTATTTGGTATGATTAATCTGGATGCCTAAGGCTTAGCCCGATCCTGTCGTGTTAAGCCACACCAAAAATTCCAAACACATGTGCTTTGATTAAGGGTTGATTAAGGTTCGCAAAGCTTCAGCATTTGCCATGAAATAGCGAGCAGTTTGTTATAAAAACATACAAATTATATATCACTGTAATCACAAAACTTCAGTTTATTTCCGTATTGTAACGAAATTTTAAATGGTGTATTTATTTCCGAGAAAATTTAATCCAAACATAAGGAATTTTTTGCTGATGTTTGACCATCAAAATCTTAAAAATAAAGTTGTCTAAAAATGTGCTACAATACGGATCTAGTATACGAGCCCTAACAACTAAATGTTCGGACAAACAAAAATTTATTAAAAACCTTTATTTTCATTAACTGAATTATTTACATTTAGGAAATACATTAAAAATATATTAAAATCTAACATTTCTAATGAGTATTTAAATAGTTTAGTTTCTATAAACATTAAAATAAAGTTTAGGCCAATAAATAAACAAAAATATTGCACAATATCGTGAGAACTAAATGTTCGGACACTTTAAAAAATAACTGTTCTAATATGGCGTTACATCGGCATGAACTTTTGCAACCACTGCAAGTCTGTTTGGCATTGTTTTTATTAATGATTGACATATGCCAGAGAAAAATTTTGCCATAATTCACTTAATATCATCGTCAAATGGGCAACAGTTTCTTGGGGATCGTGACACAATTTTTGTTTTATTTTATGCCATGTACCTATGTTTATGTCTCGATAACATTAAGGCCCGGACTGTGCGAAGGCTATGAGGGGACCTTGATGTTCATGTCCCTAAACCATTTTTTAGTAGTTTTAGCCGTATGGCATGCCCCGCCATCCTGTTGAAATATAAAATTATTGTCCTGGTCTTTACCCGAACAATTGGTTACAAGGACCTTCCCACTTGACACTAGAATATTTTTCAAAATTTTTTGATTTTTTGACGCATCAATTATGCCTTCTACCTACCAAATCATAATGCCTTTAAGAAATTTCACTGTCCTTTTGAGGCAATCTTTATCAAATAGACACTCTAGCGGTGTTCGATTATATTTATTATATCGATATTAAGTTTGCTCATGTGCACATGTAATGCGTGCATTTGCGATTGGAATAATTAGCGTCGGATTGGGAAATAATTAAATATTTTACCTTAATGTCATTTTTGTGGTTTGTGACATCAGAAGTTCCAATCCGACGCTGATAATACTAATAGCAATCTGCAAGTTCAAGGACTACATCTGCACGCATGCATGATCTTTATGAAAGATGGACAGTGGAATTTCCTAAAGACATTATGCTTTTAGAGTTTATGTTCGCAATGGGTCTATGAAGGTATGAGGTGGTAGAAAGGCACAACTAATGTGTCAAAATATATCAGACCTTTACCAGGATGTGAATTTTATATTTCAACAGGATGGCGGGGCATGCCATACGTCTAAAACTACTAAAAAATTATTTCGGGACATGAACATCAAGGTCCCCTCATTGCCTTCGCACAGTCCGGACCTTAATGTTATCGAGACATGTGGCATAAAACAAAACAAAAATAATTGTGCCTCAATCCACGATCCCCAAGAAACCGTTGACCATTTGACGATGATATTCAGTGAATTATGGCAAAATTTTTAGTCTGGAGTATGTCAATCATTAAAAAAAACAATGCCAAACAGGCTTGCAGTTGTTGCAAAAGTTCATGCCGATGTAACGCCATATTAGAACAGTTATTTTTTAAAGTGTCCGAACATTTAGTTGTCACGATATTGTGCAATATTTTTGTTTATTTATTGGCCTAAACTTTATTTTAATGTTTATAGAAACTAAACTATTTAAATACTCATTAGAAATGTTAGATTTTAATATATTTTTAATGTATTTCCTAAGTGTAAATAATTCAGTTAATGAAAATAAAGGTTTTTAATAAATTTTTGTTTGGCCGAACATTTAGTTGTTAGGGCTCGTAATCCTTTATCTTTAATTTCCTTCTTCGTTTGTGTAAAAATACCTAGCCAGTTTTACATAAAACGTTAAATGCCGAACGCTTATTTTGCTACTTTTTCGGACTAGTGAAATGGACTCTTAAATTATAAAATAATTATTTGAATTCATTATAAATCCAGAGGGTATTTGGCTTAAATATTCATGGATATAATTGCAGTTGCAATTTAACAGCTGTGCAGAATTCTCAACTGAATAGAACGCCATTAATAATTAAAAAGCGTTCGTGTATTTTTAGACGACTAACAGAATTAATTATTTAGAAAATGCAATAGAGCGCTTGGAAATGGAACATTGTTTAGATGACAATGAGTATAATTTTCACAAAAGTCTTCAGAAATCGATGGATTTTCCAGTTCTTACAGAAAGAACAGAGACTATGTTATTAATGCTAGATCTAGGGTAAGTATTTATTTATTTATTAGTTTATTATAGGTTATAACGGGTGCGTCTTAAAAGTGGCTCACCCCTATAACTTTTTTATTATTTCAGATAAAAAACCAGATTCGGTATGTCAGTATATGACATAAATTAGGACTGAGTGATGTATTTAATTGTTTTTGGTCACTTCTTGTTTCACTGGAAATGACTACAACTTTTGATTTTTAAATGAGACCCTCGGTATTTTTTACTATATTCGATAAAAAATGACACTCTGAATAGAATGACTATTATATGACAACTTTTGACATTTTCGCATATGGTTTATTTGAAATTGCAACATGCGGTTCATAACGACAATTTGACTCGAAATTCCAAGTGTGTGGTACCAAATTATTCATAAAAAAATGCTTGAGCTGATGTGAGCCACCCTTGTTCCATTTGAAAAAATTGAGATCTCATTAAAAATACAATTTAGGCATCTTTTAAGCGGCCACCAGGACAAGACATGAAAAACATTAAAAGATCAAATTTATTATACAAGGCTCCTTGATCTTCCCCTAGGAGATGCAAGACCTTGTCGTTGGTGGGGAAGCTCCTGGTCAGGTGCTGGGGGGAATCCCCTCTAGCACTTGGCTTGGTCTAAGAAGCATCTCACTCCTCGTCTTGTCCCTGACTGTAATGTCGTGGCCAGGGAATTGCACCAAGACATATAACGATACCGGGCGGGGCTACGGACAGCCTCAACCTTGGGGCACCGGGGGGCACCCCATTGTATTTTACCCCTTACTTCTACATGCGGGGCTCTGTAGAAGTGGACCGACTGTCCCTAGCGACTCATAGGAACACTATGAGATCTGATAATAATAGTAATAAAAACATCACCGGTGAAGCTGTGGGGAAACCCCCTAGCGACACTGGGAACAGTAACAATGACAGTTCCAAGGAGCCAAACCCAAAGAGAACTACAGGAGAGGTGGCTGACACTTGCGTGAGACCATCCTCTGCAAGTGGCATACAAGCTAGCACCTCCTCCAAGGGTCGGGAGCCTACCTCCTACCTCTAAAGCCAACAGGCGACACAAGCTACCGTTTCGTCTACCCGGCCTGGGTCGTAGCTCCTCGACTGTGAGGGACACGGGTCTCCGTAGGAAGTCCTGGGACTGTATGATGAGTTATAACTCAAGAAAGGGGGACACAATAGATCTCTAAGGTCGTAGAGATTAACCCCCCTCCCACTTATTCTAATTCTAATTCTAAGGCTCCTTGATTAAAAATTAGTTTTTTAACACAGTCAATGAATTCAAGATTGAAATTTAAAATACGATTTTTTTAAGCAAAAATGTCAAAAGTTGACATATGATATGGCACTCATTGACATGTCACTATTCAGAGTGTCATTTTTTTATCGAATAAAGTAAAAAAATACCGAGGGTACATATTAAAAATTAAATGGTGTAGTCAAGGCACTCTAGATTGAAATTTAAAATACGATTTTTTTAAGCGAAAATGTCAAAAATTGACATATGATATGTTGCTCTATACAGAGTGTCATTTTCTATCGAATAAAGTAAAAATATACGGCGGATGGATTTAAAAATCAAAAGTTGTAGTCATTTCCTGTTAGGTTGTTTTTTTTTCTTGTTTATTAGTATTTTATTAGCTACTAAGCTACTTATTATCTTATTATATTAATATTAAAAAAAATAAAGGTCGTTGATAAGAATTATACGGACGGAGCTAAAACCGGCTTTAAGCTGAAAAAAAATTAAAAATATCTAATAAATTAAAAAGTTATACGGATTCTATAAGTACAGAATATAATTTTGAACAGTCCAGATATTGGCTCCCCTAGGTTTATTAAAATTTGCGTTTGTCGAATACACCTGACAAATTTGAACAATTTTGGATAAAAACTGCATCTATTTTAAAATTAAAATTGAAGAGGTAACCATGCAAAACCAGATAAAAAATTGTCAACATACCTTAATCAACCTATGATTTTGTCAATTTTTTGTGCTGTTTACGCTTAGTGTTTACGCAACTAAAATAGTACCTACAGTTGAGTAGAAAATCATAGGTTGACAACTTATGGTATGTTGGCATTTCCCTGGTTTTGCATTGTTATCTGTTTAGTTTTTTAAAAATATATATTTTCTTATACCGGGTGCGTCTCATAACTTTTTTATTTTTTCAGATAAATAAACCAAATTTGGTATGTTAGTATATGACATAAATTAGGATTGATTGACGTATTCAATTGTTTTTGATCACTTCCTGTTTCACCGGAAATGACTACAACTTTTGATTTTTAAATAGCACCCTCAGTATTTTTTTTACTTTATTCGATAGAAAATGACATTCTGAGTAGAATGACATATCCCCCATATCGCAACTTTTAATATTCTCGCTTAATAAAAAATCGTATTTTAAAATTCAATCTAGAGAAATATAGATTAGAAAAAAAATAGATTTGATCGTCTAATGTCCCCCCTCCCAACAGCTACGAAATTGAATTTTGTTTTTATCAAACGAATCGGCTAATTATTTCACCTTTTCGATAATTAACAGCTTGCAGAGAAGAACATTTATGAAACTAAAGATTCTACACACAGATTTGTCCTAACCCTCTTACTTCCTGAAATACCTGGCAAATTTAAAAATTTTGCATTTTTCGACACCTCATATTTCGGTTATCCTATAACTTATCGAAAAGGTGACATCTGAGTTCAGGGTTTTTCACGTCGCGCGTCGCTGAGATCTATCATTTTCGAAATATGATTCATACCTACTTATGTTTTTTTTTTAAATGGGACACTTCACACCAGGGTTGGAAAAAATCATGATTTTTTTAAAAAAATCAAAAAAATCTGATTTTTTTAATTTAAATCAGATTTTTTTGATTTTAATTCAAAACAATATTTAAATCGGATTTCCAAATGATTAGGACTTATTTCCAATTAATCCTATCCTAAATGGCTAAATCTTTATAACTCTGGGCGATACCGATAACATTAACAATTTTACGGCGCGTGTCATTTTTCCACATCGGTCACCAATATATTCCGCAAAAAAAGTCGCTCCCTCCAGATCAAAAGGATTTTTTTTCAAACGTCTCAAAAGAATTAATTTTTGTCATTTTAACAGCTAGGCATAAAAGTAAAGCACTGTTACGCCTAAGCACAAAAGTGCAAAAATATATTATTAAACTGATACTGGGTGTCAAATTCAACGAGTGTACAAATCGTTTCTCGATTACTGTTTGTATTAGTTGCAATGTTTGAAATTGATTAAAAAATTATTTATAATGTTTTAAAAAAATTGTGTTTTATTCGAAGTAAAAATGTATTTTTTGTGCCTCCTTGTAACGTAAATAGCTTTACGACGGTCCTCAAAATGTATAGCATCGTCAAAAAAAGTATAATTTCTACTCTTAATAAAACAACTCTTGTTCGGAATTAGTCTTAAGTCGAGAATGAAATTAGTATTATCCTTGTATTATCTAATGTCAAAGTGTAAAGTACTTACTGCAAATCAAAATATCGGTAAGAATTTGGAAACATACCAACGTTTCAAAAAAAATATATAAAACAACATATTTTCTGATAACGATTATAGATTTTCGGGAATGAAGATATAGTCTTTATATCAGAAGAACCTAGTTCTGCACCAGTCTGCGAATGATATGTATTCGAACGGCGAATTTTTGTCACATACATAAATTTTAAAATAAATCCCTGCGTTTAGCGGGATCTTATGGATTCACACGAAATTACTTCAAAAATCGGTTCAACATTTCAATTGATGAATAGGTATTTTTATACAGTTCTATAAAATTTACAATTATTTTTCGCTTTATTATCTGGTATAGAAATAGTTTTTATATTTTTCTAAGATAGATTTTTATAACTTTTACAGTTATTTTTTGATTTATTATAAAGTTTCAATAAAATTCATTTTTTGATTTAAATCACATGATTAAAATTAAAAAAATCACTTGATTTAAATCACTTGATTTAAATCACGATTTAAATCATGATTTAAATCATTTGATTTAAATCATGCCAACCCTGCTTCACACACAATGGGACAAATTTCAAATATTCAAACCCTTATAACTTTTGTCAGGGGTGTGTGCAAAATTCGAAAATAACTGTGCAAAATTAGCCAATTCGTTTGATATAAACAAAATTCAATTTCGTAGCTGATGGGGGGAAAATTGCAAATTTTCAAACCCTTATAACTTTAATCAGGATGGTGTGCAAAATTCAAAAAGAAATGTGCAAAATTATCCGATTCGTTTGATATAAACAAAATTCAATTTAGTCATAGATGGGGGGAGAGGGTTCAAATTTTTAACCTTTTATAACTTTCGTCACGAGGGTGTGCAAAATTTAAAAATAGGTGTGCAAAATTGTGCAAAATTAGCCGAATCGATGTACATAAAAATAAATCAATTTCGTAATAGATAGGGGGGAACGGTCAAGTTTGCCCCTCGTTTAAAAAACGGCCCTAGTTTCTCTTAGGTAACTGTGGTCATTTATGGTGTGCAAAATTGTGCAAAATAATGGTATATCTGTTTTTGAATTTTCTCTAGAACGGGGGGCAAACTCTTAACCGACCCCCGTATGTACCTGTTTTTTGGGGGGAGGCTGACCTTGTTATATTTTTAGCAATTACTCCGAAAATACAGGACTAAAAAACGAGAAAATCTTGTGCTCGATTAAATACAATCCCGACACGAAACTTTTAACGGTTTTTCCCGATTTTACAACTACCCAACCGTACTTTCTCAGGACCGACGTTAGAGATGATCGAAATTTTTGTTATTTCATCGAGCACAGTTCCAAACCGATTCCGGAATCGATAGAAGTTAATGAGAAAACTTTAATTAAAAAAGTAAGTATAACTTTTTACTTATTTTTTTATAGAAAGAGGAGTTAATGGTACTGATCCTAGTGTCACAAGGCGAGATACGATGTCTTTTTTAATTAAAATACACACTCAGATGTAAAAAAACGCAAAGGCAATTTTTTTGTCAAATTTAAAGTATAGCATTTTTTTACGAATAATATTTATGATACCACACACTTGGTATTTCGAGTCAAATTTTCGTTACGAACCGCAAGTTATAATTTCAAATAAAGCATATGCGAAAATGTCAAAACTTGACATATGGCATGTCATTTTATTCAGAGTGTTATTTTCTCTCGAATAAAGTAAAAAAATACCGAGGGTGCCATTTAAAAATCAAAAGTTGTAGTCATTTCCGGTGAAACAGGAAGTGACCGAAAACAATTGAATACGTCAATCAATCCTAATTTATGTCATATACTAACATACCAAATCTCGATTTTTTAACTAAAAAGATAAAAAAGTTATATGGGTGAGCCACTTTTGAGACGCACCCGGTATACAGTTTGCTTAAATAATCCTAAAAATAGTGGCTAAAAATAAAAAAAATACAACAGTTTAAATTTGACGAAATATTTTTCCGGCGTTTTTTTGCATCTGAGTGAACATTATATTGTTATAGAAGACAGAAACATTATATTTTTATAGTAACAGTTTGTCTTTTATAATAAATAACGTATGATAAAAAAAACGGCGTCAAAGACGGCTAGGGAATGACAACCGATGATAATTTTGCCAGGTCAATCTCTAGACGTCATTTAGACATATTTTTTAACTTTTTGAGTTAGTTTGTCATCATGGCACTTCGCCAACATAAAAAAGCAACAACTTTTTGTAAAACTTTGTAAAAAATGTCATATGTGTTGTTTGTATAAGGTATATTATTTTTACAGGAAAATTTATTAGTAAGAGAGGGCGGGCAAAAAATGGTGCCCAGGGTACCTAAAGGCGACCCTGACAATAGTGTAGTAATTTTTTCTAAATAAGTTTTGTTCGTAATGCTTTTTTTTCTGGTGGAAAGCATCTATAATTTCTGACCATTTATTCTTCTGCAGGGGAATATTTCATTTAGTAAATAAAGTCAGTGTAATATTTGCTTTTCTTCAGGTTTTTGTCAAAAGATGTAAATATACAGGGTGGTCCGAACTGTATTCCGGAAACTTCGGCAGCATATTCTGCAGATAAAAATAAGTGAAAAAGTTCGTATTGTATATCCTAAAACGGCTTAGTTTCGGAGATACAGGGTGTAGTAGTTTCTTTTTTATTTCGATTTTTTCTAAATAATTTATGAAGTAACATATATATATAATAATAAGTATGTAGTAAGTCTGGAAGTTTTTTGACAATGGAAATTTGATTTTGATGTCAATATGACTCCTACTAGTAGAGGGCGCCACCTACATGTGTTTTAACTGTTTCGAAGCATAATAACTTTTTGTCCGTACCTGTATAAACTACCGGGCGAAAAAATATACATCTCTGTGACTTTCTACGTAAAAAATATCTCTGTAAAAATCGCTACAGGCAACCGTTCTTAAGATATTTACAATGGAAATAATCAATACATGTCATTATTGACGAAAAATAAAGACGTTGAGAAGATAGTTATTTCCATAGGTTATTCCACTGAAATAATAAATTTGGGAAATTTTTATTTTATTAAATTAATTATAATTTTTTTGCAAAAAAATGATCATAAAACAGTTCCTGTTGAACTTTTGGCACAAAAACATTTCAAATTTATTATTTCAGTCTAATAACTATTTAGTCATCATGTTTAATTTATGTCAATGATAACAGGTATTGATAATTTCGATTCCAAATATCTAGAAAACCAATACTCGTAGCGATTTTTACCAAGAGACCTTTTTCACGTAAAAAACATCCTAAATGTATATTTTTTACTCAGCAATTTTATACAGGTACGGACGAAAAGTTCTCACTCTTCAAACCAGTTAAAAATATGTAGGTGGCGCCCTCTACTAGTAGGAGTCATATTAACATCAAATTCAAATTTCTCATGTCAAAAAACTACCAGACACAAATTTTCATCCAAATATTGACGTTAATTCAGAAATTATTTGGAAAAAATCGAAATAAAAATGAAACTTCTACACCCTGTATCTCCGAAACTAAGCATTTTAGGACATACACTTATACGAACTTTTTTACTTATTTTTATCTGCAGAATATGCTGCCGAAGTTTCCGGAAATCAGTTCGGACCACCCTTTATATCTATTTAAATGATTTTTCGCAGTATGATTAGCGAGATAGAACTCTAACGAGGTTTTTTAATTTATGGATTTTTTTTTCGCAGATAAATGACTACAGAAAATTTACCACCAGCCATATTCTAAGGAAGCCCTTCGAACTTCCGCCCAAAAATAAATTGTTCGTGTTTGTTTTCCTCGAAATAGTATCGGGAAAAAAATTCGAGTATCCCAATGTTTACGTCCAGTATTTTATCGATTTGCCGGACCGCTGGTTCTGTCCAAATCCCGAACTTTTGAGGGGCCGGACGCAAATTTGCAAAGCAATTAATCAGGACGGATTGCTACATTTCGGCCATTGCGTAGAACTTACTTTGGAGTACAATTTTTTAAGCGTATCAGGAACAGGTAAATAGACAATAAAATAGCCAACTAACGTATAATTAAAAGAAACGGATTTGATATTTAGTAGAGATGAGCAAAACTGCGATTCTCCAATCGCAATTGAAACTGCGATTGCGATTTTAATATTTAAAAATTGTAGTAGGCATTCAATTCAGAGTGTCATTTTCTATCGAATAAAGGAAAAAAATACCAAGGGTGCATTTAAAAATCAAAAGTTGTAGTAATTTCCGGTGAAACGGGAAGTGGTCGAAACGAATGGTCGAAACGAATCAATCAATCCTAATTTATGTCGTATGCTTACATGTAGAATGTAGAATGTTTAGGAGGGGAGTTAATCACCGCGACCTTATAGATCTATTGTGTGTTCCCCTTTCTTGAGTTATAACGAGTCATACAGTCTCAGGGCTTTAACAAAAGCAGCAAGTATCTGAGTATCGGCTCCACAGAGGCCAATTCTCCATCCTCGACATCAGCCGTACCAAAGTTCAGGGCACGAATGGTCGTCTCGGCGTACTCAGTGATAAGGTGTTCTGGTGTTTCCCCATTTTCCCCACAGAATCTACATTCGCCGTTGTTTCTCAGCTTCAGCCTACTGAGGTGTTCGTTGAGGAGACAGTGTTCTGTTAGAAACCCCGTGACAATCCGAAGATTGTTTTTACTTATAAATCAAGGAAAACCTTTGATTTTTCTCGGTCGTAAGTTCTGAGGAACTTTTTCGTGTGTCTTAGACCGTTGGAGGACACCCATTCCAAGTTACGGATGGAGTCTTCCAGATTCTTCAGTTCCGCTTTCAGTTGGTTCCCGTTTGGAAAACAGAACGGTTCTGGTTCAGTTAGTGGAGTGTTCGCTCCTTTCCTAGCTAGATCATTTGCTTTTTCATTGCCTTCTATCCCTTGGTGAGCAGGCACCCAGAGTAGGAGGACTTTATTTTCTTTGTCTAATTTGTTGAGCTTCATTAGGCATTCTTTGACCAACTTCGAATTGATGGTTACTGAGTTGATCGCGTTAAGTGCCGCTTGACTATCGGATAGGATGGCAATTTCCTGTTTTCGATAGTTCCTATCTAAGATAAATTGTACGCATCTTTCGATAGAGTAAATTTGTGCCTGAAGGATACTGGGGTAGGTGCCCATTGGTTCGGAGTATTTAGTTTTCGGCCCAAATACGTCTATCCCTGTCCCTGTTTTGGTTTTGGAAGTATCAGTATACCAACGTTATGGTATGGTCTTTTATATGCTGAGTAAGCGTTTCTTTCTTCCATCCTTTTTATTACTCAATACCACAGTGAGCTGTTTCTCAAAGTTGTAAATTCTTGGTATGTCATTCACTGGGAATTGGAGAAATGGAATTTTCTTTTTGAGGGTGTTCCAAGTTCCAAGCCCCTGACCTGAAAATTCTCCCAGTACTGTTTCCGTCAATGACGGAAGTCGCAGTTTTCGCGATTGCGATTTTAAAATCGCTGCGATTGAATCGCAGTTTGCGATTTGTTGCTCATCTCTAGTATACCGGGTGCGTCTCAAAAGTGGCCCACTCCTATAACTCTTTTATTTTACCAGATAAAAAAACGAGATTTGGTATGTTAGTATATGCGTTTCGGCCTCTTCCTGTTTGACCGGAAATGGAAAAAATTCCTCAGAGGAGGAGAACATCTGTTGTCAGAGGAGGATGGGAAATACCATGTCCCCCTTACAACTTGTATGATGGTTTATAGACTGTATGATGAGTTATAACTCAAGGAAGGGGGGCACGATAGAGATCTGTAATGTCGCAGTGATTAACCCTCCTTCCACTCATTCTACATTCTACTAGTGATGGGATTACTCGAGTGAAAAATACTCGGTATGTCTCGAGTCATATCCTCGGTATGTCTCGAGTATTTTTGTCGATCCTCGAGGTTTCAATAGTAAGGAATTTCCTAGAATTACTTTGTTTCATTTGGCCTGAAGTTGTGCTGAAAGGTTGCCAGATTAGTCTCAAAGTCGGAGTTAAAGAAACAAAATCAGCACAATTTAAAGCAAAACCTATGAAACTTTTATTTCCTACATGAAATTATACACGAAAATATTAAAAATTATTAAAAAAGTGTTTAAAATAATTATTTTTTTTTTATGACAACATTATTCAAGTCATTCAAGTTGAATGTTTTCTTCTTTAGATAAAATGGCATTCTAGATTTGAATACGATTGAGTTTCCTAATTATATTAAATTTAATTCTTCTGTTGATTTCTGGTAGTAGAGATCCCGAGCTGAGTATTAGTTGTCCCAAATATAAACTTAATAATAAACTTTATTAACTTTTAGATTAGTACATAAAATAACAGCCGTTTCTTTAATAAAGGCACCTAAGACAATGTCTTGTGTTGTGCCTTGTTTTGAGAGTTACTTTCTTATTAAAAGTTAACTACACGCAGAAAGAAAAAGTATACAAGCTATAATTCTAAAGGTTGATAATAATGGTTTGTCCTAGACCAACATGGAGTGCATTATCACATAATTGACAACTATATAAGATTTAATGTTCTTTTTGAAAATACGGCTAGAATATCTCCTGTATAACAAAGGTAAACTGTTATATAATTTTATTCCATTATAAGATATACTTTTTTGGCAGACTGATTTACTAACACGATCTATAGGAGTCATCTGTACAGCTTGACTTCTGGTATTGTGTGAGTGGTGCGCATGATACAAATTGTTCTTCGAATGTATTAACATTAATATAGATTTAATATATAGACCTCTTACATTCAGGATACAATTTGTTGTATAGATATCTCTTACACTTATTCTACTTTTAATCTTGAATATGACGCGTATGATAAAATTCTGACAAATTTGTAACTTTTTTAGTGTGGTTTCATACGCCGAACCCCAAACAGATATGCCGTAACTAAGAATTGATTCGGCTAAGCTGCTATAAACGATAAGAAGTAGTTTTTGAGCTAGTACATTGCGCAATTGATAAAATCTGTATATAAGCTTTCTGATTCTTTTAGCCAGATAATCTATATGGAAAGTCCATTTTAAGTAGTGATCGATGAATACACCCAGGTATTTCACAACATTAGTTTGGATTACTTCGTCATTAAAACCTTTAATATACATGGGACCCAATTGTCTACTTTGCCCTGCAACAGTCGGTGAGAAAGCCGTATATTTAGTTTTTGAGACATTTAAACTCAGTCTATTAGCATCCAGCCATTCTTTCACGTCTTGCAGTGAGGCTTGAGCTTTGTTCCACGTCCTTTCCCATGAAAAATCTTCACAAAACAAAATCGTATCATCCGCATAAGAAATAATTTTACATTCATTATAGTTTAATAAATCATTGATAAATATAAGAAATAAGGTAGGTCCCAGTATAGTTTCCTGTGGAATCCCAGTTTTTATAATTTTGGTGTTGCTGAGTATCCCGTTTGGGATAATATGTATATTGTACAAAAATGTACAAAAATATAAGTATTCTTCTACTATTTCCAATTTTGTGCATGTTATTTATTAGAATGTCGTTTCTGTCTACTAGTTTGTTATTTTGCCAAATTCATGTTGAGACTTACTTTACGCACGCTAGTTATAACAGCTCATAAATATTCAAATTTCTTAAATTTATTGCCAACCAATCTAGCAAAAGCTCATTTCAATCAGTGCTAATCGGAACTTAGTAACCAACGATGCAGAAAATGCACATTTTAAGAGTTCTTCTATAAACTCAAATATTTAAAACGTGTCATTAATCTTTCTGGCAACGTTTTAACCATCTATAACCATGTCAGACTTTATCTTAAACTAAATCCCCTATGACCGTTACTTGCAGAATTCATAAAACCGCCCTACATATATTTCGAAGTTATTTCGAAGGATTGGTGGGATCGATACCGAACAGAAGGCCTCACTTACAGAAATTTACCCATATGCACGTCTGGTACATTCGGCTACAATTTGAATTGCTTCCGATTCACATCCAGAGATCCGGGCGGCGAGATGCGACGCTATTTTCTAGGCGACTGTCAGAATTACGATGACGTGACGTGGATTGGCTTGCCGACCGATTATAACGTAAGTAACTAAATTATCTTTGAATAAAAAGAGTAGAGAAGGAGCATATCAAAAACCTTGAAGGTGAAGCGCGATGGGGACTTTATATTTCGGTTTATCAGTGGGCCATTCTAATTTTACTCAAAACATATCAAAATATCATGTAGGTTAGACTCATATCATTTGTGGTTTTATTTTACATTGTCAATAAATGTAAGTAATTAATTATTAAAATGTTTATCATTATCATTTCCAGCTTATTAAAACATTTCAAATTATGGTGTAGCCTCCCTCACATATTTAGATAACCTTTTTGTATTCTTTTCATTGTTGTCTCTTGTTAGCAATGCGGGCTCAAGTTATCCCTGCTAATTTCCTAATATCATGGTTCCATCTCAAGTTTGGTCTTCCTCGTGGGTACCATGCTGTAATTCTTGTTATCCATCTGTTGTCCGTCCTTCTTGCCAAGTGTCATGCCCATTGCCACTTGAAGAATTTGACTCTGTGGATGACATATATTACCTGAGTCTTTTGTCGTATTCACTCTATTCTTTTACAGTCTTTCTTAGTTATTCCGGCATATTTCGTTCCATTGAGCGTTGTGCGACCTGCAGTTTCCTTATAATATCCGTTTTAAGTGTCCAGGTTTCGGATGCATACGTCATGACTGATAGTACACATTGGTCGAATGTTTTCTTCTTTAGATAAAGTGGCATTGTAGACTTGAATATGATTGAGTTTCTTCCATAAGTACTCCATGCTAACTTAATTCTTCTGTAGAGTTCTGGTAGTAGAGATCCCGAGCTGTGTATTCCTCCTCCTCCTTCCTATTACTCTATAAGAGTATGGTGACATTATGATATCGCATTTATTGTGTCTCTCCATGTTGTTCTGTCTTGCGCAGCTGTACTGGTCTCGTGCAGACTATGACCTATTATCGTCTTTATTTGGACCACCCAACGGTTTGGAGATCTCCCTCTAGGACGTTTCCCGTTCACTTTTCCCTCCACAATTAGTTTTTCTAGGCCATTGGTGTTCCTAGATATGTGGCCAAAGTATCTTAAGTATGATTAATTTATTGATATCGACAGTCTAGATTCGATATTCAGTTGTTCGAGTATTGAAATGTTTGTACGGTGAGATGTGTACGGTATTCGCAGCATCCGTCTATAACACCACATTTCAAAAGCAAAAGCTGTGTATTAGTTGTCCCAAATTCTTCATTCTTCTACTGTTTCTACTGTTGTATTATTTATTAGAATATATTTTCTGTCTACTAGTTCGTTGTACATTACTTTAGTTTTTGCTAAATTCATTTTGAGACCTACTTTATTGCTGGCTGTATTTAGTTCGTTAATTTGTGTTTGTAGTTCTTCGAGACTATTGGCAATTAGGACTATGTCATCAGTGAATCTTACATGGTTAAGATATTCTCCATCTATTTTTAATTCTTTGTTGGTCCAGTCCAGTTGACGGAAGATTTCTTCTAGTGTTGCTGTAAACAGCTTTGGGGATATCGCATCTCCCTGTCGTACGCCTTTGCCAGTTGGGAACTCCGGGGTTGTTTTATTTATATTATTACTCTTGCTTTGGCTTCTTTGTATACATTGGCGAGAGTTTCTATATACCGGATGCGTCTCAAAAGTGGCTCACCCCTATAATTTTTTTATTTTTTTCAGATAAAAAACAAGATTTAGTATGTTAGTATATGACATAAATTAGGATTGATTGACGTATTCAATTCTTTTCTGTCGCTTCCTGTTTCACCGGAAATGACTATAACTTTTGATTTTTAAATGGCACCCTGGGTATTTTTTTTACTTTATTCGATAAATGACACTCTGAATATAATGACACATCATATGTCAACTTTTGGCATTTTCGCTTAAAAAAATCGTATTTCAATCTAGAATGTCATTGGCTGTGTTAAAAACACTAATTTTTAATCAAGGAGCCTTGGAAAAATATATTTGATCGTTTTAAGTTTTTAGTGTCTTGTTCGGGTCGGTTAAAAGATGCCCAAATCGAATTAATAATCATATTTCATTTTTTTTTCAAATGGAACGAGGGTGGCTCATTAGCATATTTAGAAAAAGCATTTTTTTACGAATAATTTGGTACCACACACTTGGTATTTCGAGTCAAATTGTCGTTAAGAACCGCATGTTACAATTTTAAATAAACAATATGCGAAAATGTCAAAAGTTGACATATGATATATCATTCTATTCAGAGTATCATTTTCTATCGAAGAAAGTAAAAAAAAAAAAAATACCGAGGGTGCCATTTAAAAATCAAAAGTTTTAGTAATTTCCGGTGAAACAGGAAGGGTCCGAAAACAACTGAATACGTTAATCAATCCTAATTTATGTCATATACATGACATATGTAAAATACCAAATCTCGTTTTTTTTATCTCAAAATATAAAAAAATTACGGGGTGAGCCACTTTGAGACCCGGTATATTAGGTATTTTTTGATAGGTAAAATCAACATTTTCAATAGTTTCTAGTAATTTTTCTAGAGATCTTATTCTAATAAGTAAATTTACGAATTTTAGGAAAAAGTGTTAAATAAATACGGTACAGAGACTATCGGTACCGGACAACTGGACATCCGTCTTAACCTGGTGCACCAGTCGCAAGCCTTCTTGGAGGAGGACCGCCTCGACGCGGACAAGTTGCACCATCATCGAAGAAAAATGATTTCCGAGAAACTAGAATCGTCGGCTTTGATTAAAAGCGTCGAACAGGTCATACGAGAATTCAAAAAGGCAAAGAAACACTTATTGGAAGTAAGAGAAAACGTCGCTCATCATTCCCGTTCCTAATTGATCGTTTGATCATAAAAATGTCATTCTGATTTTTATTGACAATTAATTATGTGGATCTGAACGATGAACGATTAATTAAATATATACATTTTAAGTAATATTCAACTTGTTTTCTTGTTGATTTCCCATTAATATTAGATGGTTAGCACGTCGTTGGTTAGCACTAATAAATTTGACGTATTATATTTACCCAGTGAGCAATATTTTGTCACATTTAAGGAACAGCTACGTATCTGCGTTTTATTCATGCGACCAATTGCACACACATGTTTCGAAACTGTTTCTTTTATGTGCTCAGTATACGTCTGAAATGAAGCACGAGGACACAACGCATTTTAGGCAAAAATTCGGAATTATGTCAATGCATGTGTGAATTAATTCACAAATAAGGCACTTATCACTCTTTTTAATACTATTTATTAGCCGACCATACCAACAAGTATGGTAAGCTATTAAGATCGGCAAAAAAAAAGTTTTTTTAATTTCAGTCAAAATCAGTTATTTGGGTCATAAATGACCTAAATACAAAATATTTTCATGGTGTCTGTCTGTCCGTCTGTCCGTCTGTAACACGATAACGTTTGATAACGATCGATAGACGTTTGGATTGGCTTACCATATTGAACCATATTGAAGTACTGGCATCTAAAACTTCTCAGTTCTGCTATGCGCTGAGAGTAATATCGGGGTCCGTGGGGATCGATGCTGCTATGTCAGCTTACTATGCTTTTATCTATTCCAGATTTAAGTATGGTATTATTTTTTGGGGCAACTCCACGGGGGTGGAAGGAATATTGCGAATACAGAAAAAATGCTTACGTAGTATCTTCGGATTGAGTCAGCAAAGAAAGCTGCAGGGGAGATTTTTGTTGAACATAACGTTCTTACAGTTGTTTCCATGTATATTTTGGAGGCTGTGGTGTTTGTCCTGGAAAACTGTAATTTATTTGGACACCGTAGGCTCGAACATGAATATGATACTAGACACAGATTACAGCTGGTTTCGGATAAATATAATTTCAGCTATCTTCAAAAAAATATAGATTACTCTCTAATAAAAATATTCAATTTCCTTCCGGAAAATTTTACCTTGTCTATGCCTAAAAACAAAGTTAAAAAATGCTTTAAACATCTTTTTTGTGCAGAGGAGCTTTTTATTCCCTCGCGGAATTTCTAAACAGTGATAAGAGCGCCTTGTGTCATATTTAACATCGATTGTATATTGTTGTAAAAACAACCACACCCGTATGTTTTTACTTTTGTTTTGTATCATTTGATCTAAATTTGTTATTTATTGTAAGTATACTTTTGTGTTGTTATCTGTCTATACATAAATAGATTTAATTCATTGTTAGTATTATTTTCATAAAATATTTAATTTTAATATTACTATTTATTTTTGTTCATATAGTTCATTTTTTGTTGAAATGTGCAGTTATTTTCTTTTAAAATTTTTACTGACATTTTTTCCACTCCATTGTATTATACAATAAGGAAATAAATAAAGCATTATCTATCTATCTATCTAACTCAAAAACCGCTAAACCGATTTTAACCAAATTTGGCACAAAAATACTGTGGCACCCCAGAATCTGGCTATTAGTTTTTTGTGGTGGTGAGGGGTTGGTAAGGGGGTATGGGAGGGGGTTAAATATTTTAAAAAATCTTAACTCCAAAATTACAGTAGCTAACGAAACGCGGTTTTCAATTTAAGATTAGGAATAATATTTGCTACAAAATTTGTAGTAACATCAAAATCAGTCAAAGTCGCAGTTTTGGAGATATTCCGTGTTTCCGTAGTCCGTTTTTGAGAAAATCCGTGTGGAGAACTCCAAACTCCCATCGGACGCGACCCCAGGTGGCGGATAGGGAAAATAACCGCGGACCAAAATTGGAAAAATTCCTTTACTTTGAAACTAAAAGAACTGCCTACCAACTTTTTATCAGCATATTTTAGTATAGGCGGCTATACGTGCCTCCCGGCGCCATTTTTTTTAAATTTATCAAGAAAGTTATTCTCTCACACATCGTTGTCGCCATAGACTTAAAATAAAATATAGACTGAGCATCTCATTCATAAATAGCTGGAACATGCGGTCAGACACTGTCTTGTTATTGTTGTGTTATTGTTTTAGGTTATAACGAGTGCGACACGAGCGATAGATAGGTTGTCTCTGTCGTAACGGTCGTTCCCTGACGACTCTGCCGAGAAACACAACACTGTCTTTCGTTTCTCAAGTACACCTGAACTCTCCGTATCATAGCCGGGTAATTTTTTTATTTTAATGAAGCTATAATTAAATTAAAAATATATCGTATTTAAACTTTTTTATATTTTATTAAGATTTAGGACAGGTTTTTTTAAATAAAAGTTTAGAAAAAACGTCTTAGAGTCCAAAAGGGATAAAAATAATAAAATACACGTTATAGAAGAAATTTTATAATCGAAATTACGTAATTTTTGAAATTAATAATAAATTATTAATTTTAGTCAAACATTTACAACCCCTAATATTAATGAAAACAGGATCTATTCCACAGATATAATAGAATCGGCGACAGGGAGAGAAAAAAAAATATGATTGTTGTAATTATTTTTCTGGTTAAGTGATGTCTTATGTAAATTAGAGAAAACATAAATCTGTTCCATTAAAGCAAGGAAGGTGATAGGAAGTGGATAAAATGAAAACTACATTTATTTAACTCGGTACTGTCTTTATTATACCGGGTGCGTCCCAAAAGTGGCTCATCCCCATAATTTTTTTTATATTTTCAAATAAAAAAACAAGATTTAGTATGTTAGTATATGACATAAATTAGGATTGATTGACGCATTCAATTGTTTTCGGTCACTTCCTGTTTCACCGGAAATGACTATAACTTTTAATTTTTAAACGGCACCCTCGGTATATTTCTACTTTATTCGATAGAAAATGACACTCTGAATAGAATGACATATCATATGTCAACTTTTGACATTTTCGCATATGGTTTAATTGTAATTGTAACACGCGGTTCATAACGACAATTTGACTCGAAATACCAAATGTGTGGTATCAATATATTCATAAAAAAATGCTTTTTCCAAATATGCTAATGAGTCACCCTTGTTCCATTTGAAAAAATTGACATATGTATGATTAAAAATACGATTTGTACATATTTTAACCGACTTAGACAAGACACGAAACCTATTAGACGATCAAAACTATTTTTCCAAGGCTCCTTGATTAAAACTTAGTGTTTTTAACAACACCATGGCACCCTGGATTGAAATTTAAAATACGATTTGTTTTTCAGCGACAATGTCAAAAGTTGACATATGATATGTCATTCTATTCAGAGTGTCATTTTTTATCGAATAAAGTAGCAATATACCGAGGTTGCCTTTAAAAATAAAAAGATGTAATCATTTCGGTGAAACAGGAAGAGACCAAAAACAACTGAATACATCAATAAATCCTAATTTATGTCATATACCTATAACATACAAATCTGTTTTTTTTATCTGAAAAAATAAAAAAGTTATAGGGGGTGAGCCACTTTTGAGACGACCCGGTATATTAAAAAATATTGTTTCATAATGTAATATCAATTTAAAATTCTTGTATGTTATTTTATATGCTCAAGATAATTTTAGAATAAACCATATTTTTAATAAAATCATTATTAATTATTAACAGGGTTATAATTATGACTTTGTTACAATGTAAGTAAGTAAATAATGTAATGAGAAAAAATTCAGATTTTACATTTTACTAAAATATTATCTAAATAAGCGCCTTTCTACAACAACGCCACTGGCTCCCAATGGGCAAATTGAGAGTTGTCTACCGGTCGAAAGTCGTTTCAAGACTTAAATGGATTATTTAAGTCAAATTTCTTGCAAATTTGGCACTGGCGAACCATATTTTATAGTTCTTGAACAGAAAAAGTCAATAAAATAAACACTTAAGGACTACAAACTAAGAAAATGCGTTAATACAGCCGGGGACATAGCGGCATCAAAGCTTTACCGCACACTTGCCACGCGTACTACAAGGTAATAAATGAATGAATAGGCTCCCTCGCCTCTAATCGGTGTTATCATATTGTAAAGAACTTATCCTTTTTAAACAGTATCCGACTTATAATTTAGTAGTATAAGGACTATTTAATACATCTATGGAATATTAAAACCTACTTTATTAAACTGTAGTATTAATATCTCAATATATGTGTATAACAAGAAAAAAAATATTGATAATATTAAAGACGTGACAACATAGGCTGGATGAGGAAGGCTCGGTCGACTGTACCCAGAAGTAAACATGTGTACAAAAAATATTGTCTGTCCGCGTTGAGATGTAAATAGTGTAGTCTATATTTTATTTTAAGTCTATGGTTGTCGCAAAGGATACACATCATGGCACTTTATTTCTTACTAAATGGCTACACATAAAATGTTTTTTTAACAGTAAGCTAGTCGTATTAACTTTGAAGTATTCCTTCTGCAGTAGTCCAATAATTACATGAGCCAGAGGGGTGCAGATGGGGTGCAAGGGGTATTGAAGCGATACATATAGCCTAGCTTACCCAAAAGTCAACCTCACCTTCACGTGGTGCACCCTGTTTACACAAACGAGGCTCTGACGTCCGAGTATAGGCGGTATAACCTTATACAACCCTCAGACCTACCATCTTCTGGGGAAAAGGAGTAATAAAATACACCTAGCCGGCCGAGAACGTAGCACAAGGGAACTATCGTCGCAGTCCTCACTGTGCCATAGCCAACCCGTGCTACAGTTGCAGCCAAAACTGTGCGGCAGCGTAACCGCCACAGTCCGGAGGTAAAATACCCCCTCAATCGGATCTCCGGGAGGGGGTGCCTACTCGAGCGTATCATCGGAGAAACAAAAAACATCAATGTTTCACGTTCGCGGCGTGGAACGTCGGCACTCTACTGGACAAGATAAATTCAAATCGACCGGAGAGAAGAACAGCACTGGTCTCACAGGAACTTCACCGATTAAATATAGATGTTGCCGCTCTAAGCGAAACACGCTTTGCAGATGAAGGTAGTCTCACTGAGGAGCATTACACCTTCTTTTGGAAAGGTCA